CAGAGCCAGTGACAGTAACCTGCCTTCCAGAAGAGCCTTCTACTGCATTGGCAATTTTGATCTGGGCCCTGGACATCTGGTGGATCTCATTGATATTGGTGCGTTGGTGCCCAATTATGCAGCCAATTAAGTTATTTGGAATGGTGAGTTCACGGGTGGTTTGAGTAGATGCATTCAAACTTGCCCAAAGGCCTTTCACCTCTGGAGAGCTGCAGTCAGTTCTGGAGAATCCAGTCCTGCTGTGCATCACGGCAAAGTGAGACTGTTGTCATGCCACCTGGTTCAGCTTGGCCTCCCCTAGGGGTGGGGTCCCCCCTTTTGGGGGGTGCGCCTCCTTGTTGGAAGGATTGCAGGGTTTCCCCACAGAATCAGTGATGGAGCTAACCAACAAACCTGAGGGCATTCGTCTAGTTTATTGCTGTAACAAAACACCCAAGGATGTATAATTCATAAAGACAACACATCCATGTAGCTCACAGTTCCGGAGGTCTAAGAGCATGGGGCTGGCATCTGCTCAGGATCTGAAGGCAGAACTACCCAATCCCTTCCAGGCCTCCTTGACTCAAGGACCTCCCAGCAGGCCCCACTTCTTCACCATCCCACCCCTTCTTCACATCACCACAATGGGGACGGAGCTTCCCACAGGAGCCCTTGTAGGACACAAACCAAAGGGAGTAAGCAGAGCATCCCTGAGGAGCCCCAGCAGACTTTGAAATTTCCTCTGGACCAACTGCTCTGAGGCCTGCACTTTAAATTACTCACCAGGAAAGACAATATGCTGTGGGGAGCAGAGATGAGGCCAGATGTGGCCCCAAGGCTCTGGTCCCTGGGATCCCACTGAAGGCTGGGCTGGGTGACTTGCTATAAGGGGCCTGCCACCCTCTCTTTGAGGATGGAGCCATCCTAGGCTTCTCCAAGTTGCCTACAGGTGATTAAGAATGGCTTCTGCAGGTATCTGCTGCTCTTAAGGCCGAGGGAGTATATCAAGGGAAACCTGCCTCTCACCCAGCTTTCTTCCTCCTCTAAGCCCCCCTACCATTTAAAAAACCTCTTATTTTAAAATAATTATTATTACTGAAAAATAATTATTTGAACAGTACCAAAGATTTTTCAAAGGAAAGAAGTCTTTTTCCACCCCAGTTTTGCTGTCTCCTGCCAGAGACTAAAAGACCTGATAAAGCTGGGTGCAGTGGTGCACGCCTGTAATCCCAGCAGCTCGGGAGGCTGAGGCAGGAGGATTGCAAGTTGAAAGCCAGCCTCAGCAATTTATTGAGGCTTTAAGAAACTTAGTGAGACTGTGTCAAAAAAAAAAGAAGAAGAAGGGGAGGGGATGTAGCTCAGAGGTTAAGTACCCTAGGTTCAATCCCTGGTAAAACAAAGAAAAATGTCTGACAAGAACAATTTTAGAGGAGGAAAAGTTTATTTTGGAGCTCATGGTTTCAGAGGTGTCTCAGTCCATGCACATTTGGCTCCATCCCTCAGGGCTTGAGGTGAGGGAGAACCTCATGGTGGAAATATATGATGGAGTAAAACAGGTCAGAACATGGCCATTAAAAAGCAGAGGGAGAGGGGCCAGGATTGTGGCTCAGTGATAGAGCTCTTGCCTAGCATGCATGAGGCACTGGCTTCAATCCCCGGCCACGTTAAAAACAACAAACAAACAAAAAAATCAACTTAAAAAAAAAAAAAAAAAAAAAACAGAGGGAGAGAGACTCTTCTCAACAAGTACAAAATATAAATCCCAAGATATGACCCACCTCCTCCAGCCACACCCTACTTGCCTACAGCTGTCACCCAGTTAATCCATTCAAGTGGATTAATATACTGATTAGGTTTAGGCTCTTAACAATATCATTTCACCTGTAAACTTTCTTGCAATCTCTCACATGAGCTTTTGAGGGGCACCTTCCATCTAAACCATAACATTCTGCCCATAGCTCCCAAAAGTTCATGTCTATTTCATAATGTAAAATACTTTTAGTCCATTTCCAAATGGACTAAAAGTATTTTACATTATGCCACCATCTTGAACAGTAGCCAAGCCCCTAGTGTTAATAGTCTTAACACTTCTAGGGTTAAGTTCAAGTTCAAAGTCTCCTCTGAGACTCAATGTGGGTCCCTGTAAAAACCAAAAGCAAGTTACATATACTCAATAGACATAGGCATATTTCCATTCCAAAAGGGAAAATTTGGGACATAGAAAGAAGGAATGTGACCAAAGCAAGACTGAAAACCAGCTGAGCAAACAAGTCTTGTAGCTCCATGTCCAGCATTTGGGGCACATGGCCTCCTGATGGTCTCTCCAAGGGTTTGTGTAGCTCTGTGCTTATGATCTAGCTGGTTGCAGCCCATATGGTCTCTCTCTTTTGGATTATTTATGCTCGATTCCTGCAGCTTTTCTCTGCAGACATTCCACAGGATCTCTCAGTCTCAGGGATCTCCACTGCAGCTTTGGCTTCCTTCTCACTTCTTCATGTATTGCTCTCTCAGGGGCAGTCTGCAGGGACTCTGACACTGTTGTACTTTACCTGGCCTCCCAGGCCCCCCTTTGAAATCTCAGTGGAAGCCTCCATAACACTCTAACTCCAGAATTTTGCATTCCTGAAGAATCAGCGCCCCATGTCTATGCCACCATCTTGAACAGTAGCCAAGCCCCTAGGAACTCTGGTTGCAGTAGCCTGTGAGTATCTGGGTGGCTGAGCAGGGTGAAATTTCCTAGCCAACCTTATGTAAGCCAGGGGCCCTCATAGTCCTTCTCAAAAGGGATTTTTTCTTTTACATTCTTGAGCCTGAGATGGGTGTGGTCTTACCAATTCTTGAGTTGCCTGCAAGCCAACTTTCCTATTATTTCTGGGGAAACTCTCTTTAGTGATTACAATGTCTTCAATACCACTCCTTCCTTAGTCCCAGTTTTACTTGCATTTTTTTTGTCAAATGGCAAAACTTATTTGACTCTGTTTTTCTTTCTGTTCCTGATTGTCTCAGTTAACTTGGCTAAAAGTTGCTAGCCATACCCATGCCACCCCTACAAAGGCTGTGCTTCCTTGAAAATTCCTCCACCAGATTAATTAGTCCAACATCTTTAAAATGAGCCTCACAGGAAGTCTAAGGACATAGGCAAAATGTAGACAGCTTCTTAGTGAGAACCAACACAAATGGCCTCTAGTCCAATTTCCAGTAGAGTCTTCCTTCTCTTCTGAAACCTCAGGAGCCGTCTTTACTGTCCACAGTCCTATTTGCATTCCTGTCTTTTGAACTTCCACCAGAATCACCCATTAAGCTATGCTTAGAATTAAAAGAAAGTTTTCCAACTTGCATCTCTAACTTTTCAAAAATTTCTCCACAAATTCTCAAAAGCCCCATGGTCCTGTTAGTCACAGCAATGACCCCCGTTTCTCAGCACCAATTTGTGTTTTAGTCAACTTTTTCATCGCTGTGATCAAAGACCCAATAAGAACAATATAGAGAAGGAAAAATTATTTTGGGTTTACAGTTTCAGAGGTCTCATTCCATAGATGGCTGATTCTACTGCTCTGGGCCTGAGCAGAGACAAAACTTCATGGCAGAAGAATGTGGCAGAGGAAAGCAGCTTAAGACATGGCATCAAGGAAGCAGAGAGAGATTAGAATTTGGGGTTTTGATCAATATCTTAGTTCAAACTTTTTTCTAGGCTCAAATCCTGCATTAAAAAATGTGTTGCTTTTAATGTCCACATTTTATTTCATTACCATAATTTTAACATGTATTATGCACCATTCTTAAAACATAAAAACCTGTAAAGGATAACAAAACTACATCAAAAGAGGAAAAACAAATATCAATGTATTTACTCTTAAGTTTAATAAATAAAACTTAATCAATACTTAACAATGAAGCCTCTTTTGAATTCTCCTCTCTCCAATCACCCCAGAATCACTATACTGAATTTGGAGTTTGTTTCCTCAAATTTTAATTGAGTCCCGTGTTTCTGATGGATCACAAGACCCCTCTACATGGGTGTCTCATTCAGCAAACTCAAGTGATTTAATTTGTTTCAAGGAAAATGCAAAGAGTAAGTCTGTCTGTCTGTCCATCCGTCCGTCCATCCATACATCCATTTATGCAGAATGCCTCTAGAAGGATATCTATCAGGGACTGGTCAAATAGAACACATTAGCAGCCTGTCTGCAACCCTAGGATATGCCAAAGATAATATTTAGATGCTTGGACCGTGGATGGTTTTTTCTATCTGCTTATTTGTATTTTCTAAAATTTCAGCAATGGGACATGGATTATTATTTTTATTTTATTTTTTCAGTGCTGCGGATTGAACCCAGGGTCTTGTACATGCTAAGTAAACACTCTACCACTGAGCTACATCCCTAAGTACTACCCCTCTTTATTTTTGAGACAGGGTCTCACTGAGTTGTCAAGGCTGGCCTCAAACTTGTGATTCTCTAGCCTGAGCCTCCTAAGTAGCTGGGTTAATGGGTGTGAGCCACATACCTAGTGGATTATTTGTAATGGTAACAATAAAATACTCTGAGCCTACCTTCTCTTCAACTCTCTTGCTTTCCCTGTTTGTGTCAGCACAGTGCAATTATTGTTCATACATCCAGAACCTGGTGGTAGTGTTTGACTTTGACTTGTCCTTCCGTCTCTCACATTCTGTCAGTTATTACTGTACCTGTGGTTATCTAAGTATATTTCTATCTTCCCTGTTAGATTTTAAGTTGTTACCTATTTAGTCTTGTTTCTCCCTGGGGCTTATCCCATAGTACAGCTCATAAATAGATGATGCAGAGATGATTATTGAACTTTCTGCTCGATGCCCCAGGCTTGACTACATCTTGCAACTGTCACCTGCTAGGGAAACTTCCTCTAAAAATAAGCAGTTTCTGTTTCAGATACTGTTTGCCATGATATTTACATTCCATTTACCCCACCCAGCCTCAAACTTAGAAATGTGAATTAAAGGTGGTATTCAAATCCTTAGCCACAGTGCTGACGGCCCCCAGAAGGACCAATGGAGTGATGTCGAGTTTTGTTTTTGTTTCCCTTGATATTCTAGCTGCTGTCTCTACATTCGCTGGGACATTCTTGAGTCTATTTCACTTGTCCTTTCATGCTGTTCTTTTTGTCGTTCCCTGGTTTCTCTCAGAGATCAGGTTCCAGATGGCTCAGCAGTGCTTCCAAAATGAATATTTTGACAGTTTGCTGCATGTTTGCAAACCTTGTCACCTTCGATGTTCCACCCCTCCTGTACCATGTCAGCGTTATTGTAATACAAGTAAGTAAGACTGCTTCAGCAGCTATGCGTTGAAGTATTCTATATTGATTATTTTTTTCAGAGAACAAACAATATGGGGAAGATGGTGAGATTTTTCTGAATCAAAAAGAGAAAGGAGACAAAGTGATTATTCAGACCTGAACTCAATTTTATTCAGTACAGTCAGCAACATAGATTTTCATCTACTCTTTTAATTAAGTGGTATTTAGAATTTAAAAGTCAATGCTGGTGCTATGTGCTATGGCACATGCCTGTAATCCCAGTGGCTTGGGAGGCTGAGGCAGGAAGATCTCGTATTCAAAGCCAGCCTCAGCAAAAGCAAGGTGCTAAGCTTCTCAGTGAGACCCTGTCCCTAAATAAATACAAAATAAGGCTGGGGATGTGGCTCAGTGGTCGAGTGCCTCTGAGTTCAATTCCCAGTACCCAGGAAAAAAAAATCAATGCTGATGAATTGGGGAAATTGAATGACAAATAATTCATACTTATGTGATATTATGATATCAGCTCATTCTCTCTCTGACATTCTTTTAATAAAGGTATGACCAATTCAGTGAAAGGAACAAATGCCATTCTCTGGACCTGTTTGGGCCTGAGTTTGACAGTTTCTTTGGCAGTTTTCATGCTGATGTTCTTGCTAAGGAAGATGAGCTCTGAACCACTGAAGGATGAATTTAAAAACACAGGTTGGTTTGGGGTCAGTCTTTGAAGTCTGCTTTCAAGAAGGGCTGCTGCAAGTTTCATTTCTTTTTCTTTTATAACATTGACTATTTCATCCGGTTCCAATTATTTCAAGTGTGTTAGTGGACAGTAACGTTAGTTAGATTCAAGCTGTCTTCATTTGGGCACTGACACCTTCTTTGCGGATCTCCTGACAGTGTCTGCCTTCCCCGAAATTCTTCCCTAATTAGTCACTCTATTGAAGTCCTCAGGCTTCCTTGGAAAACATCTTTGACTAAAGTTAGAACATTGATTAAATGTCCTGCTATCAGAAACTGCTGGCCAGGCCTGCTACCATCAGGAAAAGCATACTTGGCAAGATACATGGTCTTGTTTTTAATACAAATGTGTTATTTGCTTTACTACTGAAAAATGCTAGAAATGAATAACCAGTTTCTCCTGGATTATTTGAGTAATTGTTTAAAAAATAATTGTTTATTAGGCTGTAGAGAACCAGTCCCAGAGAAGCAATGTTCTGCTTAAGGGCCTCTTAAGATAAAAATATTTCTGCAGCACCTTTCTCCATGTTCTGATTCTCAAACACATAGCAGCAACTGCCCTATTTCTTTACACATTTATTTTCCATGCAGAATCTGTAAAACACCATCTCATTTGGCTTTCTAGTGGAGTAGGATTGGTAGATTATGGTTTCATGCAATTTACTGATTTTTCTTTTTTCCTGGGGTCTGGTGGAGAAGTGAAGAATGAGTTTTTTTTTTTTTCAACATAAAATAAAAATTGTGTATATTTAAGGTTTACAACATGTTTGGATGTACACATATATAGTGAAATGACTAGTCAAGCAAATCCATAAGACCCTTTCCTCAGTTACCTTGAAACCTTCTCTTAGCTAATCTGCATTACACAGTAGGGTTAACTAGTCATCAGGCTACACTTTAGATCTCCAGATGGATTTATCCTACATAACTGCAATATCAGATCTCTTGGCCAACAGCTCCTGCCTATGGTACCCCACTATTCTGCTTCTATGTATCCAACTTCTTTAGATTTCACATATAAGTGAGGGAATGCAGTATTTTTCTTCCGGAGTCGGCCTTATTTCCAAGTGTCTCTAAATGTGACATTTAGAAGATAAATTACATTGTAGAATGCTGGGAAATAGAAAACTTACATTCACAGGTGTGATTGGCTACAAGAGGACTTCTTATATGATCATAATTATGAGATTCTTTTAAAAAAATTTATCTGCTGACCAAAGCTTAAGCCTCTTTACTTCTATGTTCTAAAATATCAGAGACTGATTTTGGTGTGCTGTAACATATGGGAACTTCTGTCATTTTCATGTGGGAAGATAAGGTCAAAACCTCAATGCCTGCAAAGGTCAAGTGGGTAACAAAGGCAGGTTCTGGGCCAGGTGGTGGCTTTGCCCAAGGGGCCCAAGGCTGGCCTGAAGGTGACAGCTGCTCTTGACTCCAGCCCATTGTTTCCGTGCTGTTTCTATGTTGCCACATTTTGTTCTCTAAAATTTAGTCTAATTGACCAGATTCACATGTGAAATCTCGATTTTTAAATGTGATTGTTACAAGCAAACGCATATGACACTGTCCCTGAGCAAACCATATTTTAGATCCCAGTATGGTGGCTTGTGGTCTATTAGTTGCTGACCCGCCCTGCTGGGACTGTCATGAAAACAACCCCAGGGGGTTGGGTTAATGTTTCTGTTTCTTGTGATCAGGCTCCGTTCTGCTGGATGTGGCTAATGCTGACCTGGACAAAAGCAGGACTAGGGAGGACACGATCCTTCCAAGAAGCCTGGGGTACACGGTAGAAGAATGTACCTGCCAAGACTGTGTCAAGAGCAAACCCAAGGTCGATTCTGACCACGTCTTTCCACTCCCAGCCATGGAGGAGGGTGCCACCATTCTTGTCACCACCAAAACTAACGACTATTGCAAGAGCCTGCCAGCTGCTTCAGGTGTCACAGGGACAGAAAGGTCAACTTCTACTAGATAATTAACCCTTCGACTGGTGTAGAGCTACTCTGAAAATCATTGGTCAGAAGATGATGCTTTGGGTCTCTTTGGGGTGACTGTCAGTTGCTGATACAGTTGCTTTTTATCTTCTAGTTCTGAAAACTGTTAGATTTATTTCCCTAATTCATCGTTGGGAGCTCAACTGTGGAAACTTTCTTGGTTTAATGATTAAATTCTTAACTCAATGAAAAAAAAAGTACTGCAATCTGTAGACCTCACTGAATTGAAACCAGGGAGGGGAGTCTTTACCCCGTGTGCCCTCCACTCAAACTCCAGAGACAGGCTGGCGAGTAGAGTACGTTTTATTCAAAGCCAGGTTTGAGGAAGATAACTGTTGATTTTCTTTCCCAATTTTCCATCTTCAGGGACTCAGGGGAGTGAAAGGTGGAGCAGGGGACAAAAGGCAGGAAATATGTGTGTGTAGATTTAGCTAGGCTGTGCGAATCAGAAGCATGCCACACACCCAGCTTCCTTGGTGTCCCTTAGGGCCAGGGACAGGCCTCTGACTTTATTCTCAGTAGGAGGAAATTCAGAAGTTAAAACAATTTGGAGCTCAAAGAGCATCTGCTTCAGACTCACATTTCCATGGTTAGACTACCTCTCTCCTGTACACACACACACATTTCAGGACAGATTGGATTTTTCTTGATTGTTAAAGGAAAGCAAGGTTATCCTGGGTATTTCTGTGAACAGGAGAAGCCTACAGTCAGCCAGGCTAATTCAGCACCTGCATGCACAGGTAGTTCTAGGTCTTGTGGGCTTCCAGCCTAATGGGGACATCAGGCATTAATATAATCAAACAGGAATACGTGTAGCTGGAAACTGTGATAAATGGTCCTGAGCACCTGGGTGCGTGTCATAATAATCACAGACAACACTTAAGCAGGCTTGCTGATGTGCTCAGGACTGTTCTGAGTGCTTTACCTGGACCGACCCATTTATTTATTTATTTAGACTAACTCATTTAATGTACACAAAATACTATGGCAGATGGATCACTAATTACATCCAGTTTACAAATGATGATATAAATGGAGCAAAGTAACACAGCCAGTAAATGGCTGTCGCTGCTTGTGCTGCTATAACAGAATGCCCAATACTGGGTAACTTATGAATAATTCATTTTCCCACAGTTCTGGAGGCTGGCAAGTCCAAGGTCAAGGTGCTGGTGAGGGCTTCCTTGCTGTGTCTTCATATGGCAGAAGGTGGAAGGGCAAGCTAGCTCAGCAGTGTGGGAGAACTTTCATAGGGGGCTTAATCACCTTTGTGAGGGAGACACTTTCATGGCCTACTCAATGCTTTATGGCCCAATTTTTCCATATTATCATATTGGCAACATCTGAATTGTGGAGACGACATTCAAACTACAGAGGTGACAGAGCCAGGGTTTAAACCGACAGCCTAAAATCTATATTTCCCCCTTCTCAACAATTGGATTGCATTTGAGTTTACATCACTTTGCACTATTTTTGTCATTCCTGGGGGAGGGTTCCCTTCCTGGGGTTTGTGCAAAGGACTTTGGGTCTTATGGAAAGGCAATACAATTGGACATGCCCTTTGGTCATTATTAGGATGCCTACTGGCACCACAGCATAGACCCTGAAGGTCTTGAGGCTGTGGCTTTTGTGCACATTTGGAATATGGGGGAAAATAGAGGGAACTTTTGCACATTTGGGGCCCATCACTGCTTCCGTGAGGGACTTCAGGGTTGAGGATACAGGATAATGGTTAAAGAATTAGCTTCTGGAACCAGACTGCGTGGTTTTGAATCCTGGCTGTTTACTAGGATATCACAGACCTTGGAAAATTGGGAGAAAAGCACTTAACTACACCAAGCCTCAGTTTCCCCACCTGTATAATGAGGATAACAGTAGTATGTACTTGGGAAGCCAAGGCCAGGAGGTTCACAAGTTCAAGGACACTCTTGGAAACTTAGGGAGATCCTGTCTCAAAAAGTAAAAAGGGCTAGGTATGTAGCTCAGTGGTGAAGTGCCCTGGGTTCAATCCCTACCCAGTGCTAGAAAAAAAAAAGTTCATTTATATATACAGTTTGTAAAAGTGTGTGCTTTGTAAGTACTTGTATCAGTTACTGTCACAGACATCAGGGTCATCTAGTCCCCTTGAAGTCTGGCAAACACTCTTTCCTGTTACGTGGCCTCCGAGTGTCGGCTCCAGCATTTCACAGGTTTTCTCACTACTTCAAGCTCTCCATGAGTTTAGATTTCTCAAACACAAGAGTTGTTGCCTTTAACCTCTTGATTCTTGCCATCCAGGCTGATTCCCAGAAGGAGGAATAAGACTCATGGGGGAGGCTGCTGGTGGAAGAGGTAAAGCACAGTGGGAAAGAAGACAGACTTTTTCTTCTCTACTCACATTCAACACAGAGCACTTCTGGGACCTGATGTGTGGGCCTTTGTCCCCACACACCACGCAATCTTCCAGCAAATGCCAGGTGGGTGTTATAGGGCCAGCTAGTCTTTTTTTTTTTTTTTTGAGAGAGAGAATTTTTAAATATTTATTTTTCAGTTTTCGGTGGACACAGCACCTTTATTTTATTTTTATGTGGTGCTGAGGATTGAACCCAGCGCCCCGCGCATGCCAGGCGAGCTTGCTGCCGCTTGAGCCACATCCCCAGCCCCCAACTAGTCTTATAAATCAACCTAATCCTGACACTGACCCTAACTCTACCTGGAGATAATGTCAGATCCCATAGGCTAAGAGTTTAGTCCCACAAGACTGCTCCCCACTTCATGCCAATCAAGTTTCAGACTGTTTTTCTGATTTACTGATGATAATTTGGAGTTTTCACAACCCTCCTCTTTATGTTCATAATTTGCTAGGATGGCTCACAGAACACAGGGAAACACTTTATTTTCATTTATTAGTTTATTATAAAAAATACAGATGAAGAGTCAGACAAAGGGGCAAGGTGCTTTCTTGGGATGTGCGGCCTGGAAACAGCTTGAATCTATTATAGTTTTATAGAGCTTAATCTGCAGATCCTCCCTGCCCCTTCCCAGAGGTTGGGAGGTAAGGCTGAATGTTGGAACCCTCTGATTACCTGGTGTTTCTGGTGACCAGCTACCCTACCCTTAGGCTGTCAAGGGATCCTACTCTATTACCACATTAAAGTATACTCAGGTGTGATCAAAAGGGGCTTGTCATGAGTAATAAAAGACATTTTTACTACTAAGGAAATTTCCAAGGTTTTAGGGGCTCTGTGACAGGAACAGGGGACAGACATATTTCATATTATACCATACATAAATGAGGACTTTAATAAATTACCTTGCCCTAGTGCCCCAGGGGGAAGGCACAGGGAGCTAGAGAAGATGCGAGACAGCATCCTCTTGACACCTGCCCAAAGCAGGAGCGTGCTGCCTTCCAGGAGCTGTGGAGGCAGGCCGCGAGGCCAAGCTCTCCAGGTCTCAGACATGTGAACTCTCCAGCAGGAATAACAAATTAACAGCTATAAGGTATAACTTTAAAGATGGGAGAAATAACTTCATCAAACAAACACAAGGATTCCCATTTCTACATTCTCTCACAGTCCCTACATGTAGGTATATTTTGACATGACTGTAACCATGGCTTTCTAGACTACTTTGCTTGGGCTTTTTTTCCACTTAATGTATTATCACTGGCATCTCCCCACATTTATGTTACTGGACCCAAGCTGGTCTGCTCACTACCTGAAAGCAAGATGGAGGGGGTGGCTACCTGCCCCCATCAAAAGTCTGTCTTAGGGAACTCAGGTACATAAAAGTGCCAGTTTTTTAAAATATATTTTTATTTGTAAATTGATCTTTTATTTATTTACATGCGGTGCTGAGAATCGAACCCAGGGCCTCCCACATGCCAGGCAAGTGCTCTACCACTAGGCCACAACTCCAGCCCCAAAAGTGCCAATTTTTGACTCCAGTGGCTGGGTCATTTTTCCCCTCAGAACTGTGGAACCAACATTACTGAACATGGAGTGGTGAGGGAGACTTTTATTCTAGGCCAAGAATAGAAGTGGGAGATAAAATTGCAAATCAACTTCCCAACTCTTGGGATCAGGTTATAGATACAAAATAAATGAGCAGGAGGAATGTTCACGTTTTTTATTATAATGAAGTTAGAGATTGTTTAGTGGTCACTCTGGCAGTCATCTTAGATGCAACCAGCCCATGAAGAGGGACTCGGTCTTCAGGCATATTGTCCTCAAAGATGGGGTAGAAATTCAGTAGTCCACCCAAGCAGTACAAGACCAGGGTTGGGTAACAGAAGGACTTTAATATGGAAGGAAAGGAGGTGCAGGCGGTAATGGTTAGGAAGCCTATGTGCTGGGTGGGGTCTTGGTCATTTGAGGCATGTCTTCCCTGCCCCAATACAGCAAGCAACCTTGATCTCCAGAGATTAGTTCCTGTAACTTTACATGCTTTTTGTAAGCTGATGCACAGAATTAAAGAATAAGAAATTACACATTCTGATGTTATCTGAAGGTCACAAGATGTTCTTGGTTCTGTTAGTCTAAAGAAAGATGCTTTAGCTGTTAATACCGTCATCATTTAGGTTCATATTCTCCTTAGAATTTAGAGTGTTGGGGAAAGGGAGGGGAAGTCAAAGGGTGACCTGCGAAGAGGTGGCCAGAGTTACATTTCTAGTCTTTAAAAATCTATTATTTCTAGTTAGGAATCTGCATAAGATTCCTGTGTGCTGGGCCATGATTTGCTTATTCTGCATTTGGGCTTTGGAACTTTCCAACTGCTAAATCAAAATGGGCACTGAGAAATCTCTGAAACAAAGGGTTTATTGAGGCATCACAGATGCTAGCTAGAAAGGAAGGACTGGTCCTGGGACAAGTTCCCTCGGCTACCAGCAGTGAGGATAAGTAGAAGTTGGAAAAATGTCTGCTGGATCTAAAAAACAAAAAAAAAAAACCTAAAATATTTATTAATGGAAAACGTTGTGGAGGTAGATATAATTATTTATGTTGACCCTCCATTGGCTACAGATATGAAAGAGGGGCAGGATGACACAAAGCAGGGGAACTCCCCCACCAACTCTCCTCACTTCCATTCTCCACCCTTTGTAACTTAGAATATTTCAGAATTGTTTTTTTTTTTCTTTTTTGGCAGTGTTGGGGATTGAACCCAGGGTTTTAGGTATGCCAGGCAAGTGCTCTACCACTGAGCCACAGCCCCAGTCTCAAATCTTTTTTTCTTATCACCACCTTTTTTCTATTAGAAACAATGCTGCAGAGCATCCTTCTTCAAAGAGTTCTGGGCCTTTGCCGAGTTGTTTCCTTAGAGGTAAATTCCTGGTGTGTGTGTAAATATATATGTAGAGGCAAAGCAGCAGAAGACCTTGGGGGCTCTGGGGCCATAGAGAAAGGGGCTGGAATTCTGGCTCCATTTCTTAGTGGGGGCTTGGTCGTCAAGTCAGTGTTTTCAATTATAGATCAAGACTTATAGTGGATAAATGGAGTAAGTCTCTGTCAGCATTAAAAAAAAGAAAAAAAATCAGAAGATAATACATTATCTACAGAATTGTTAAGCATCTCAAATGTTCTTATGTGTGTACTGGGTTGTGATGTAAAAGACATTTTTTTTTTTTTTTTGGATGTGAACAAAACAACCTGGCTACTTCTTCGACCTCTCTGGATATCCCTTCCCCACCCATAAAATGGGGCAATGACGGTGCCGCCTGATTGCTGGGCAGGTGCAGCATTTGGCTTTACACTGGACCCATCCACCTTCTCCTGCTCCACCGCCACCACCTAGTCCCAGGCATTGTTACCTCTCGCCAGGACAATGCAGCAGCCCCCTAACCAGCCCTTTCTCCCCTGCCCCATTACAATGAGTTCTTCTTCCAGGAAAAGTGAGGCCTTGCCACCAGTTCAGACTGTGTCACTCCGCTAGGTTACTTACGAGGACCTCTATTCCCTCGCCCGCTTGGAGGTGGGCAGGAAAGCGCCAACCACCCTGCGGGGCAGGAGCTCCCGCGTCCTCGGGGTCCCCGCTCTCCCCTCGCTCACCCTCCGGTGCGGCTCCCTCTCACCGCGCAGGTACGGGCCCCGAAGTCGCCTCCTCAGAGAGGCCCTCCGGGATTGCCCTCTGCCCGTGCCCACGTTTAGTCCACGGCTCTGTTTCCCTCGATTGTCACCCCTGTCAGGATCCCTGTTTTCTCCTTACTCATGGCCTTGCTCTCTGGCGCCAGCACCGAGGTGTGAGGCGCAGCAGGCGGAAAAACGCACCCTCACCGGACCTCCGCTCACCGGCGGCCGCAGCCACCCTCCTCAGCCCTCGCGCTCCAGCGGACGCCCGTGTTTACCTTCCGGGACGGGGGCGGGGCCTGGGCGGTGACGAGCTCTACTTCCGGGGCGGGGCGGCGGGCGGGGCGCGCGCGCTGTCTCTCGGCCCTTGTGGAGCGCGGCGGCGGCAGACGCGGCGGCGGCGGCGCGGCGCAGGCACCCGCCAGAGGAGCGGCACCATGAGCGGTGAGTGGCGGCCCCGCCGCTGTCACCCGCCCCTGCCGCCCCGGCTCCCGCCGCTGCAGCTGCACACTCCGGCCCCGAGTCCTCGCGCCCCTTTCGCCCCGATCGCCCGCAGACCCCGGCCCACCTCCCCATCTCTCTGGCTCCCGATCCCGCCACCGGTCCGCCGGGGTCCCGGCCCCTGGCCCCCGGCAGGTCTCCGATCTCCCGAGGCCAGGCACTCCTCGTCCCTGACTCCTGTCCCCGGGCAGGACCAGCTCCTCGATGCCTGCCCCCAGACCCTCCCAGTGCCCCAGCCCCGCGCCCCGTTAGCAGATCCCCAGTTGGGAGCCTTTGGGTGGGCAGTTTCTCCTCCCTCATTGACCCGCCGGAGTCCCGGCTCCAGCTACCGGCGCCGCTGCCCTGTCATCCCCCGCCCAGGCCCCTGGTCCCCTGGTCCCCTGCCACCCGGTTCCCCACCTGCAGAAAGCGCCTCCGGGCATCCTTGGTTGCTGACCCCGGGACCCGCTGTCAGCAAACCCAGACCGGCAGCTCCTAGTCCCCAGGGGTCTCTCAGCTCTCCGCCCCTTTGTCTCTCGCTTCGCTCTTATTCCCTCTACCCCTGTCCCCCAGTGCTCTTCTAGCCACCAGTTGTTCCTACTTACCCGACTCAGCTTCCCTCCCGGTCCTAGCTTTTTACGTTGGGGTTATTCTTCCCTACTCCAGCCCCTTACATTTCTTCTCTCAGCTCATCGTTTGAGGTCTCTCTTGTCCTGTCCTGCAGCCCTTCCCTTCTTGCCCAATGCTGAGCCCATCTGGCGACTGTTGCTTTGCTCTAGCCCCTCCCCGCGCCACCAGAGAGGGGGTGGGTTTGGTGGGGAGGCTGGAAGTTAGAGGGAGGTGGGTGTAAGCTGCTGGTCCTGTTTCTGAAGTTTAGTGCCTTGACTCTGACTCTGTTCACCCTCCTGTCCTCCCTCTAAAGAATCCTATTGGTGTTTTGGTGCTAAGTCATTCTTGGGTGTTGTGTGTGGAGATGGGAGTGACTCAGGGAAGCCTCTCAGCTGGCCCCTGACTGTTTTTCCAGCCACTCTGGGATCTGGATTCACTTCAGAGGACCCGCCTACCCTCATAGTGTCTGTTTTTCTCTCACTGTTCAGTTATTTCTCAACAATCCCCACATCCAGGGCCCTTGGCCCTCTCCTTCCATCCAGGCATTTCTGGAGGTGTTGGGGGTGGGGGTAGGGGGGCAAGGCAAAGGGGATAAGTTGCTTTTCATGTTAAAAACTTTTATCTCTGTGGATCTTCAAGATAAATTACATGCCTTTTGTGTTTGCTGCTGAAGAGCAAGATTTATGAAATTGATGGTCCTAATGAATGGCTTGGTGACAGGGGTGTCTGGGAGATAGTTCACCTTCTGTTGCCAAAGCAAATGATTGGATCTAATGAATATTCTGATCCTCGGATATTAGTGATAGCACTGCAAAGATGTCATGAGCTCGCTTTCACTTTGAGCTGATGTTGCTGGGTATAAGTACAGGTTCTGGAGCCAGACATTTGGGATTAACTTTGCTACTTAAAGCTCTGTGATTTAGGCTAAGTTACTTGACCATTCTGAAAGTCCCTGCTAAATGAGGATACATAATAGCACCTGACTCCTAGGCTTGCTGTGACAACTAAATAACATTGGTCAGGTAAATTGATTGTGCTTCTCACATGGTTCATTGTCAGGAAGTTAGAGCTGTCACTTCTGTAAAGACTCCGTGTTGGGTGTAGTGGGGGCAAGGCTGTTTCTTGGAACATGGGCTAGGACTGTGCAATCTTTCAAAATCTTTGTGGCCTCATGCATGCTAAACATGAGCTCTACCACTGAGCTACACCCTTAGCCCCAACATTTTCCTTTTCTTTGTGATACTTGGAATTGAACCCACTGAGTTACATCCCCAACTGTTTTTATTTTAAGACAGGGTCTCACAAAGTTCCTCAGGCTGACCTTGTTCTTGGGATCCTTGTGCCTCAACCTCCCTAGTGGCTGGGACTACAGATGTGCGCTACTTCACCTGGATAATCTTTTCCTTTTTATATTACCAAGGAGTCTTTGCCATAAACTCAAAAGTTCTGGACCTTTCTCTCTTTTATCTTTACCAGAGGAGGAAATGAAATTGAGAAGTCAAAGGAAATTGATCATTTTCTCTTTCAAGGAGCCACTTAGCTTAGCATCAAAACTCATTTAAAACTTCTATTTTTAAATTTAATGAAAAAATCATTAGGTCTAAAGGCAAATTATAAAAGGAGACCAACACATAGAGATCAAACAAATGGACACAAGCATTAAGGATGAAAGCCTTCTTTTGGAAAGTTTGCAATTGAGGCGGAAAAAGTGGTTGTGGAGGGTGAAGGGGGAAATCCAAGGGTATTTTTAATTGTTTCTTGAGAATGCATTTTAAAATGAGTTTCCTCACTTGTGGGATTGATAATTGGCACGCAATAAAATAATGTGGTAATGTGGTAGGTAGGGAAATATTCCCTCTCTTTCTTTTATCCCACCCCCTTTTTTTGTACAGGGGATTGAACTCTAGGGCGCTTAACACTGAGCCATATCCCCCGCCCTTTTTATATTTTATATAAAGACAGAGTCTCAGTGAGACCCTCGCCCCTTTTATAAATAGATGATTTCAAATATCATGAAAGTGGAAAAAGTAGTATAGTGAACCATCAGAGATTTGACAGCTCATGATAATTTCACCTATATCCATGCCTGTTTTCCCTCTTCCAAGGTTATTTTGCAAGCAAGTCTCAGACAGTATATCCTTGTATCTATACATATTTTAATGTGTATCTCTAAAATACAGGAACTCCTTGTTAAAAACACAACTTATTTTTGTTACCATGCCCATGAAAAACAAATAATTCCTTACTAGTATCAAATATCTACTCCAGTTTCCATGATTGTCTTATGATTTTATTTTATAATGTACTTTTAAAACTCAGCATCTAATTTTACATAGTCAAGTTGTTTGAAAGAGACCTAAATGATTTAAAAGACAAAGAGACTATTTATAGTTTAATTTCTTATAAATTTTTTAGTGTATTCACAGAATTGTGCAGACATCAATTTTAGAATGTTTCTGTTACCCCAAAAAGAAGCTCTGGACTCTTTAGCGGTCACCCTTCAGGCCCCACTCCAGCCCCCTCTATGCATTTGTCTACTGTGAATATTTTATATAAATGAAATCATGCAAGCTGTGACCTTTGTGTTTGGCTTTTTTTTCACTAATGTCATGTTCTTGAGGTTCCTTTTTGTGACCAAATAATATTCCACCATGTGACTATTTCGTGGTTGGTTTGTGCCTTCAAGGGTGGATGGACATTTGGATTGTTGCCATCTTTTTGCTAAGAATAATGCTGCTGTGACACTTCACATGCAGTTTGGTGTGTGGGCGGTTTTTCATTTCTCCTGTTCAACAGAGCTAAGAGTGGAATCACTGGGTATATGTTTGTTTGGTTTAACCATCTGAGGAGCTGGGTCAGACTGTCCACCTGTCTGTAGCATTTTACATTCCCACCAGGATGGAAGGTTTGCTTCTCCACATTCTTCCCAACAGTCTTGGATAATAGACATTCTAGGGAGTGTGAAGTGGTACCTCTGTGGTTTTGATTTGCATTTCCCTAATAACTAGAGTGATACTAAGCATCCCTCCATGTGCCTGTTGGCCAGTTGTATACTTCTTTGGAGAAGTGTCTATTCAGATCCTTTGTCCAGTTTTAAGTTGGATTTGTCATTTTATTGTTGAGCTGTAAGAATTCTATATAATTGCTGGATACAAGCCCCTTTTCAGTATATTTGCAAAATTTGTTCCTGTTGTAGTTTGAGTTGAAGGAAACCAAGTCATTTATCCTAAGGATTCTTTGCAGGATTTGGCCATTGTCTCATTTTGGTGTGGCTTAACATGCTTTTCAGTTTCTTGTAGATCCTATAAATTGGCAATTATATGTATTTTTGAGTTAAAAATGTATGTGTAGAATCAGAGGTCCGATGGGTTCAAGGTTGAATACATCAAGTGCAAATAACCAGGAAGTGGTATGGCCCTAGATAATGCAAACACGTGATAAATGGGTATAAATGAGGCCAGAAACCACCAACATGACCATTAATAGTGGAGAGGAAAAACTTAGTGTGGTATGGTCACATGACAGAAAATGCAAGGATGTTAAAAGGAATAGTGTGATTTTATACACATCACTGTGGCTACATCTTATCATTAAAGTTCTGTGGGAAAAAAAAGGGTATAGAATTATACCTAAAATATATGCTTTGATGCCAAATAAGGCAGGCAGGCAAGACAGCATTGTGGATTCATATATGTGCATATAAGTAAACAAACTGTCAGAAAGAAAGACACCTGCTTGGGGAGACGCCTGCTGGCCTGTCTTTTTCACCTTCCCTTGCTTGGGGGTGGGTGTCTCTGGGAGGCAGTGGCCACAATTTATTTGTTCTCCTTGGAGAATTCCATAGATAGGAATGCTTGATTGCTAGCCTCCTCTGGCTGAGGAATTCTGATTTCCAGTTGATGCTTTTGTTTCTACTGGGAAAGGAAAACTAGTAGGGCCAGAAAGCCGCTGTTGTTCCCAGGCACAGTCTTTTGTTGGACTATGCTGGAGGATCCTGGCTGCACCTTTCTGTCCATGATTATTCTTTCAAGAATTGTTCTGACTTTAGAAAGACTGAAATCCCTGCTTCAAAGATGGGGCTGCCAGGTCCAGAGAAGATGCATGATTTATGGAACAGATCAGCTTTAAGGGCCTGATAGGTCAGAATTCTGCGCTTAGTGGGTCATTTGCTGCTATTTCTTGTCTAATGTTTATGTACATTTTGGCCACTTTTTCTCATTTTTCTGAAATGTCGAAGGTCATGGTTTTCTGCTTGGCTTTGACTGGGTCCTCTCCAGCAGTGACTTGTACTTGGAATAAAGAAAACAGCTGAAACAAGTGAATGGAAAAAAAAGAATTCTTGTGGTTTTCATTCAAAGCAGAAAAGTGATGCTATTAATATATTTTTTTCCTCAGGAAGGCATGGGGTCAGCCTGTTATTGGAGAATGTAAGAAGTAAATGTTCTGCTGTCTGCAGACGGTCGACCACCTCGTCTGCTAGCAGGTGCGGTGGACTACATTCCACCGACAAGGACTCCTGCTGTTGTGTCGCATGACTCTGTCTGGGTGACTAATAGGAAGTCAGATTCTTAGTGCTTTTAAAATTGGAACTGAAATCCAAGATTTCATGGGCTTCTCTAGATTCTGGCAATGTGAACCCACTTGCAGATAAGCACCTGCGTCCTGCCCCCATCTGCACACGTAGGCCATGCATTCTCAGGGGTGTGCTGGTACCCTGAAGGGGGAGAGAAGAGGTTCTCAGGGGAGGTTAAGATCCACTCCTGTGTGTAGAACACAGATAAGCATGTGGCACACAACCAGATATACATTAAATCTGTGGTGTTAAAATTTAATGGGGCCGGTGATTAGGATAAAAATGTCTAGGATGAATCCTAAAGGGGAAGATAATAGAAAAGATTGAGAAATACCAGTATGAGATGAAGTAATTGTATCATCATCATATAAACATTGCCTTTTGCTAGTTCCCCTAACATTTCAGGATACAGCTTTACCACATTGCTGTCTGGACTCCATACTGGTCACTTGTATGGATTACATCATCTTGCATGTAGCACAGTTTTTGAACTCTTTGCTTGTGGAGACACTTGCTGGCCTGTCTTTCCCCTTGCTCTCTTCCTCCCTTCCTTTCTGTTGTAAATAATGATGCAGTGAACATTTTTGTGAAGAAAGTTTTCCTTTTTTGGGGTTATGTCTTGAGGGTGATTTCCCAGTACTGGTTGCTTTTTTTTTTTTTTTGGTTAAAGCAATGGTGCTA